GGTATCGTACAACTGGGTATTAGCCGCCGGAAATTTTGAAAAAATAAATTATCATAGCTTACCGTTGGGTAGGATACAGCCGGAAGTGACTGCCTCGCGCCAGTGATTTGCGTTGCCATGGTTAATATCGTGGTAATTCCCAGCGCCACGCGTGCAGCCGTGGCATTCATGTGTAACCAGAAGGAAACCCAAGATAATATTACCAAGAGGGCGCTGGGTATGTACGTCGTTAGTATGTAGAATCCCATCTGGCGCTCAAGAGTGAAGTGTACCTCCAGAAAGGACCAATTCGCTGAAAATGTAGACGTGATTTTGTGGTTGTTTTTGTCGTTGTTTTTTGCATATAATTCAACGTATTAATTTACCGTAGCTTAGTCTATCTTACTGTTTTGTACACCAATCTCAAATATACACTGGATAGCGAATTCAGTATATAAGTATGGATGGGTAGGTTCGGTGTACGACTCTAAACAGTTTCTGCAGCAAAGGGCGTAATGCCGATTATTTCGGAAGTAATGTACCCGGCATCACTACTAAAGCATCCGAATTGTATTAACCTGTGTAGTTCTCTGACTGTTTACTTACTAAGACCGTAGTCTTGTAAATATTCCACTGTTGTATAACTAGTTAGTTCAAACTGTGGCAGTTTTATGTCCGTGTATACTGCTACTGGATCTACTTTTCGCCAATACAGCGCCAAATGGCTGGCATCATAGGCATCTGTGATATACAAACACATTATCTGACGTAAATCAACCCTGGATTGCAAATCACTTTTAGTATGATTCACTGTGCCTTTCATTAAAGTTTTTATGAGATGTCCTTGTTTAATTATTACCAAACAAACTATTTTCAACATGATCGGACTCGGAAGGACTGGGAACTGGAATTTATATAGCTACAAAGACCACGTGATTAACTCGGGGATTTGCCAACAAATAAAAATTGATAATAACGAGTAAGTTAAGGAGCAAAAAGTTCATTCAATGATATCAATAACGCGGCTACTTACAACTCAGCAAAACCATTTTGCATTTGTGCTTGTCCATGGGAAACCATCGTAAATTCATATTACACGAGAGTGTCAGGCTTAACCTGCAATTTTTAAAAAAATACTCGGGGAATAAATTAATAACGGTGCACAGCAATATGTATGAATTATCAGAGATGGATGCTGCGGTTCACCACCTAGGTGGTGTCACGGCCTATAAATTGGACAGACTCAGGACAGTTTGGGGTCGATCATTTCAACTTGGTGTCCGTCACTTCAACTTGCTTTACAGGCTACAACCATCATTCTGTGAGACTTGTATGAACTGCTCTGCGATCTCCTGCTTCCAGCGATGCCCTCTAGAATACCAGCGTTCCTCTGCAAGCAAGACTCCTGTATTTCTCCGTTGTTGTGTTGCAGAAGCCATTGACTGTCGTCCATTAATACATCCCGGAACTGTGATTTATCACCAATGCACACTTCCCTAAGCAATCCCTTATTTTAGTAACTTTATTCATTGTATTTTCTGTGCTTTATTTCTTGTAAATATTTTGAGAGGTATTAAAGCCAGATGCTTTAACTCGATATTTTGGTGTATGTGTATTTTATTTCCAGTACTATTGTCTTGTCTACCCCATTCTAGCAGTGACAGAAACCCCTGTCCAATGTGAGTTCTGTGGGTGGCCCTCTCAATTGCGATAAGAAGGCCTTACACTGTAACAACTACCAACGTATACGTAATTCGTATCAACGACAGTAATATTAGCTGCCGTTTTACAATTGACAATTTCCATATTGCAACGTACTTTTGTAAGCGAACTCAAAAAATTGTTTCTCTAACAAGAATAATATTCACAGTGGGAAAGTGATTGGTTCTTTTACTGGCTTTGTCAGATGCGAATCGGCTATTTCGCAACCAATGTGACTTCAGTATATACAGGAATGTAATATTATTTTTTTCTTCACGCAGAAGACCTTAAACAAAATAATACTCTCGAAAAAGATAAATCGCAATTCGACACTTTTATTTCAGATGCTGACAAATGTGGCATCTTTCTCAAATTTTCAAAACCAAATACAGTATAATAAAATATAAAATAAAATAAAATAAAACAAATAACGCAAAAGTATTCGGGAAACAAACGGGGCAAAAAATGTATAAAAATAAACGCACGTGGTATAAAGCACGTTACATTTCTATGATACAATAGGTCACTTCGTGGTCACGTTAGACTACGCATTCCTACGCAGTTGTACCAACGCGAGGAAAACCGGTCAACCGTATTCGATATCACTTCACTCTAAAATCAGTTTTAGATACAGCGCCATACACACACCGTTGAGAAAACAAGATGTCCGCGTTTACCCATTCCAGCTCTTCTCGCTCAGATCGATTGGCCACTTGCAAAAATATTTGTTCGGGGATATATTTTATTGAAGATATGAACCTCGATTTCGTTGGGAAACAGGTGAATACTAGCTGTAAATACTTATTTTACTACTCTACGACACATGTGGTTTCTCATCGTATTTTAACGTATACCCAATATCGATGTTTCGAAAAAAAGGGTGGAATTGATGACCAGCGGTTTGTGAATTCTTCTTTTGCAGTTATTCGCAAAGTTAATTGATTGCCTCGGTGCCTTATCATGTCGTGTGGTCCACGTATTGATATCAATATGAAACATGTTTACTACGAAATCGATATGTTTTGTACAAAAGTAAATAGTTGTAACGTAGATGCAGTAGCATAAAGATTAATTAAAGACAAATAGTAAATACTTGTGTTGTATTTACATTCACAACTATTTCATATCAAAAAATCAAACACAGCATCGTTCCAAATTTGGAGAGGGAAATTACCAAATTCTACCTCTTTCTCTTTGTATGTGATCAAATCAAATTATTTGTCGGTGATACCATCTTAACGCACTGGAAAAAGATTGCATTCCTGTGATATATTGCATAAACAAAATCTGCGCACGCGCGGGAATAGAGTCCCAAGTGACGATAACAACGCATGCCAGAAACGCAAAGGCTGATGGGTAGACGCTTGTTTGTAAACAATGACACGCTATGGCCATCTGACGCATGCGCAGGTGACGACTCTCCCCTTTTAATTCCTAAACAGGGACATATAGTCATATGTGTCGCTCATTGAAGTAAATATAACTACCAGAAAATATTATTCAATTGTAAGTGGACATGGATTTACGGCATAAATCGTATTGTTCTGCCCTGAATTTATGTAACTACATAATCTGCCATAGAGAATGTCCGAACAGCGCCAATGTATAATTTCGCATAATACAACTCATAACCAGACGTGTAGAGCGAAAGGAGTTGATTTATCGTTCATGTTTTTAATGTATTTTTCTTTCAGTTATTTTTTTTTTATTTTATCATTCCTCGCATCAAAAGGTTACAGTTTAGATACTGAACATATAACAACACGCGCTGAGTTCCCGGATGTCGTTATCAAGGTATCCATGATTTATTTAATCATAGCTTAGCAACCAAATATCTCGAAATTTGAATATTGTGTTCAAGATGGATATAGTAAGTAATGACGTCATATCCATTCATCAGAAATACTGCGGTAGAATATGCCATACTCTTTTTTCTAAGATCGTTTTGTTGTTGTTGTTGTTATTGTATTGATTTTGATAATTAGTTTTACTACTTGTATATATTCACTCGCTCATAGTCATTTACGTGTATTTTGTTAGAGCCGAAGTGACATACGCCTCTTTTATATAAAACAGTATTTTTTTTTAGAATTTGAAATTACTATTTTGTTGTCCAATGCACCTATAATTGTAATTACCACTTTATTTTGTTTATTCATTTATTTTGGTAATTTTAATATTTACATTCCTTGCGGCAATTTTGAATTTTTTACAAACAAGTTCATACCAATTCACAGAACATTCACTTTTTTGTAATGTTGTAGTAGTGGATTTCGTAACATTCGAATTTTCGGGAAACTTTTACAGTGTTTTAAATTATGGCAAACATACGGGTTACCTTTTTTGTTTTTTTAACAGTAATGTTGTTTTATGGAATCGTACTAGTATTGGTTTTCAAAACGTTGTTTGTAAGTATTTTGGATCATAATGAATTAGTTATGTACAGAAATGGTAAGGACGAGGACTGTTCGAAATACTGTGAAGTAATAAAATCAGTACTAGTCTTATCAACGTGACATAAGAATTAGTTTCACGAGTGGTAAAACCGTCCTAATAAAACAACATTCAGTTTAGTTGTATGAATGTTTTACAGTCGAACTATAACATATTGACGATTATAATATAGCTGTTAGGGGAATCGGGCAATAACAGAACGTAAACACCATCCACCAATACACAGTCGCAACCCAACAGAATGTGTGAAAACTGACATACTTAAACTACCTAAATAAAGCATTATGCGAAAAAAGCCCTACCTCATACTGTAAAACACTTCGCCATCTGATGAAACACTCAGGGCTCTGTTGTCGGTAGTGACGTGGTGAAAAGTGGCCTTTTTCTCGTTGTCGAAGTAAAGATCTGGCCTCCATATATTGTCAATAAAATCGTGCGAGTACAGTGTGATGGTGTTGGAGCTGTTGTGACGAAGTCTTGGATCCCACCACCGTTGATGAAGATATATAGTGACGGAATATTCCTGAAAAAAAACACACCAATCTCAAAAACATTCATATTTAAACTTACCGTGCCATTTCCTTGGGTAATACAGTTTTTATTGCTACCATAATATGACTGTATATGATGTTATCATATATAATCCAAGGAATACGTTGATGGATGGGTTGATTATATTGTTTTGGCTTTTCCGATACGACTTTTAAAGATACGTTTTTTTTTTAATTTGAGCAAATCCCCCGACACTACGTGAATGGAACAATATACAATGATGTGCATAGTGAAAACACAGTTAACACAAAAAAACAACAATACGCACCATTGTAGTTTCTTTAACGGAGTCGAAACTATTGATGAATATGTTACATGTGACATTTAGTGGAGGCCCTGAAAAAAAAAAGAGTCCACAGAAATACATAATAGCCATTACATATTTATTAGATTTCGTTATTTGTCGCACACTATAGTTTCAGGTTTTGAGATTTAAAATGTCACATGTACATTGACATAATGTTTTATAATAGACATCATCGCGATTGAAAAGGGTAATTTAGCTCACCTGGAATTATTAAAAACAACATAGTCAGCTCCAATTACGACGTTTGTATATTCGACTAAAATTTTTAGTACGTTTACAGTGATTCTTGTTATTTCAATATTTGAATAACACTTACTACAGACACAGCTGCCGAGTTTTATTTAAGCATATCGATTGTTACGTCATTTTTAGAAAACATATGTACATGTTGTATAATTCGTTTATTATTTTTTCTTCAGCACATTGCATAAATATTAAATGAAACTGGACATACCTGACAACGAAATGAACATTTTTATTGTAATGCGATATAAGCTCAATTGCAAACGTAATCGAATTCTCATTTTGTGATAAATCGTATAATTTAATATGTATAGATCTTTGACTCTCATGGAATTATATACACTTCAATGATTTTTCCAGAATTTCTGTAAAAGCAATTTGGCATTTCCATTTGAAGATGCAATATAAACGAAAGCGTTTCCTATTATGTTATTGTTCGATATTTTTTAATGTAGATCAAATTAGGATAGGATTTATCATAGACTGAACATGTTACGTTTGCAAACACATAGTAGTATTTCTTAGATGAAAAATTAAAACCACCAATACACATTGTGCAGTAATTTTTAATGTACGTACGAATGCGTCTATATATTACGTACTCTTTGGGCTCGTTGTTTTTAACGCGCACCCGAAGACGAATTCAAACCTCACTGTATGATGGGATACAGTGTAGTGAAGACAAATTATAAGTTAGTTCATACATGGCAACAAGTACCGACTTTTTTTTTCATTTTAATTTTTGTTATCGCGCGCACGAGGTTCACTAGTGACGAACAAGGTTCTGATTTGGAAATCTACACAAAGAATATAGATCGTGAATTCTGCTATCCGATTGCTGGAAACTACTCATGCATTTTTTAAACTATAAATCCATTTTCAAAATTAAATGTATGATTATTGTAAATATAAATTCATTTTCAAAAGTGTAATTACAAATGTATAATTTACATTTTGATTAGTACTTTGATTAGTACATTTTTACTCGTTTTTTAAAATGCAAATCAAAATTGTAGTAAATTATAAATGCGTAAAACAAAATACAAAAACTGTCATACTTTTATAAAAGCATGGTCGTGATCTTCCTCAATTATTGCAAGCGCTTCTGCGTCAGATTTAAACAAAAAAGTGTTCTAATGTAAACGTACCACTAAATCTTCAATATGAGAAAGGCAAACCGACTCATCCGTAACATTTTCGAACACGACCGTACGGTGTTTAACAACTTGTATTGCTTTCAGTGTCAAACGTATTACAAATCCTTTACGTTCACTGCGAGATCCCGCGTTATATAGTACGTGAAATTGAGGTCATAGCGTCGTAGTGACGTCAAAACATCGCGTGGAATTATACAAACGCGCAAATAAGTTTGAGGTATGTCCACGTCTAATAATGTACCGAACATATATAATGATGTCAAACAGCATAATTGTAAAATGAAAGGATTTCTGCAGCAGACGTTCGATTCGCGTCTTCCGCACATTGCGTGATGTAAACTCGCCAATTATGCTCATTATTTTTACCAATACATAACATTCTATTAATATTTCCGGAAAACAACCCCTCATATGATGTGAGCACGTAAGGTCATGGCAGACTAAAAAATTATGCGGAAAATAACCATTATTGGACACAATGTTGCTGATTTCACTGGGAACAAGTTTCGTTTACAGTTAGTAATTGATGTTGTGTGTGCCAAGCTGTCTCTACTTCCTTCACCGTTTGAAATATTTCGACCGCTGTATCTTGCATCATTGCGCCTAGAGTTGCGTACAAATGCATAACAGAACGTACATACATGTATGACAAGCCTAAAAACGCCAGCATGGTTTGTTATCGATCAATATTGTTAATATAAAACGTATTTTACGCGTTTCAATTTGATTATGCCCTGAACAAACATTACCGCCTGGCTGTTTTTGTCTCGTGCTGTGTATATATACATGTACAACTAAACTATTCATAGAAACATACAACTTACCGTTGAAATATGGTCGTATCGAGCTTGTTCCGTGGTTAGATAACACCGTGTCGATCAGTCGCTGTTGTTCAATCAAATCTCTATCTATTAGCCTGCAAGCGAGTAAAGATATTATCAAAATGGTCGTGTAAATGTTTTATTTTGTAGTCATTATGATCGAAAAAGGGGAATTCTGAAAAACATTGTTTTTTTTATTTTGAGTAGATTGCGTTGTTGTTATTTGTATACTTATATAGTTAGGTGGATGAATTATATAAACAAACCGTTTCAAACTACGCACTGAGTTTGTCATTATACGGCAAAACAGTTCTATTACGTAACAATTCAGATATGTCGTGCTTATACTGATGGGCGGGGCATTTACTACGCGAAAAGAAAGATTATGCGTAAAAGACGCCACGCATGCATGTCACAGCTGACTCCCATGATCTCGATATGTTGGGAACATTCGGGATAAAAATATTTTCGGGAAAAACAGCACATTAAAGGGTTTGTGATGTCGATTATTTTTCTCTACCCCTGAACTGATTTCAATATGTCAATTTATTTCCCTCAAAAATATGGCTTTACTGTCGAAATCCCCCTTTCTACAATCGAATGTTATGAAATGATGATTTGCACAGTATACTTAACCTGAAACACGTAGTAAATTTGAGTCGAGCTTTGCCCAACGTATAGTATGGGAAAGGTGAATTGTGTTGTTGGTAATTTATATTTAGAGATTGTTGTGCTGGTTATCGTATAATTTAATCAATAAAACACGACAGACCTTTATTTTAATTAGCTTGTACGTATTAATATATAGGCAAAAGAAGCATAACATGTAATAGAATTTATTTTATTGTGTACCATTAAAGCCAAAATTGAAAAACAGCAATAAATAAAGAAAAAAATAAATAATTTAATAAAACAATAAAAAAGCGTAAAGTATAAATTAAAAAATAGACCAATAATTAAAAAAATAAAGCATCGAACAATAAATAAATAAAAAAAGAAGAATCAGATTATTTAAATAGGCTGATTTACAATTTACGGAAAAACAAAGACAAATGTGTGGATTTACTAAAATAAATTATGGAGACCCATGAATAAACCAACGACTAAAACGTTTGGTCAATTCATCAAATGTGGTATAAGTAGCGAGATATAAAAGTCTTTCTTTTTCCGATAATACTTTTGGTTCCACTAAATATTTTTCAAAAACGGCATTGTTCAGAGCTTCGAATGTGTCACCGATCTCGCCTGTATCACTCAACACAGAGTACATATCACATAAGTAAGAATTATCTTGTGAAAACAAATACGCTTTAAACTGTTAAAGCTCTTTACAAAGCGCCGTTATCAGAAATTCGGAGGCGTGGCTATTCAAACTCTGGGTGCTAAATGACTGTTTATTAAAGTGTATTAATAAATACGGAAAGCTTCTTTTTAAATAGATAACAAGTGGTAGTTTATTTAAGGTAAATATTACTGTATTGTATTGAATGCTATTTTAATTCATAAGGTCTTCGTCTTCAAAATATCGCAAATGCAAAAAAGTGTTTACCATCCATGACTGCCATATTGTTTTGTATCAAATGGTTAAAGCGTGGTGGTCGTCGCGCAGCGCGTGTTCGAATTTCGATTCATTTAAATAAACAATGCATTTTACACGCGTTGTATACGTCGATATGAGTCCCATATCGAACAGGACGCGGCACGACGACTATCGTCATTTAAATATAAAACAACGATTACCACCTGCCATTTACTTTCCCATGCCAACTTTTGCAAATTAGGTATTTAAATATAAACTGCTTGCTTTAAATATTGTTCTATATATATGCGGTGTTTTATTTATTCGTCTATTTATTTATATCTTTACTAGTCGGTAACACTCGACCTATTTACCAATGCTGGTTACAGTGAGTGTGAAGTTATAAATAATACTGTGCTTGTTAATTGATGAGCACTGTGGGATGATTACAGTATTGCAAAAGTTTGCATTTTAATATTTCAGCCAAGAACAGGTCCGGGCATGATTCGTCTGAGCTTAGGTGTACATACTTACAGCCTCTTTTCGCCATTGTCACGTAGATTTTTTTTTCAAAATGAACGCGATCTAGACGTCGCATTTGAATTAATTTTCTCCTTGGCCTTCCGTTTCTCGTTGTACTGCTTGCACGTGTACTATTTATTACTAAATTCGTTTTCGCCGTACCTAAACAAATTTAATTTATCGGCGGTGCGCGGTAACACCTAAGACGTCTGTAAATTATGTTTAATAACGAGTAAGAACTTCTTTTTTGATATGTTCAGTATTTAAATTGATCCTTTTTGACATTTTAAGGAATGAAAGGTGTCATATTTTTGCTGTGTTGATATAATATGTGGCAATGATAGGTCAAGCTGTGAGTCCATTGCTCTTTTTTGTGCTTGTCTTTAGTCTTTGTTATTGTATTTTGGTCATTTCTGATACATTTGATGTCATAATTTTTATCGACAGAAGAGCTATGGTTCCTCCCGTAGACTTGCATAACACAAACGTGCTAGCCAAAGGTTACAAGGGCGCCAATAACCGTTAAATCGGGGGAGTCGTCACCTGCGCATGGTCAGATGGCCATAGCGTGTCATCGTATACAAACAAGCGTCTACCCATGAACCTTTGCGTTTTTAGAGTGTGTTGTTATCGTCGCTTGGGACTCAATTCCCGCGTGTGCGCAGTTGACGACCCTCCCGCTGTAAATTCGAACGCTAATTGTTAGAAAAACGAACCAAGATGTACTTTTATATAAAATTGCGCGCATTTCTTATATCATTACTGCTTATATTATCACTTTACACTCACTGTAGCCACCTATTGTGACTACGCAGACGTAATGTTCTATTCTTCGATTTTTCTTTTATTCATTAATTATAGCTCCAATGCCATAATATTATGATTCAACATAATATGCATGGTACGTGTCAAATAATATAAAATTGATACACTAATTAAAAA